AAGCTTCTGGCCTACTTCCGTACCTCCACCCTTTCTCGCCTCTTGCTGTTAGGATGATGCAGACATTAAGGTGTTAACGAATGGTTTGAGGGGGCCTGTATGGCTACTCCCGCTCAGAGTTTGTTGAGATCCAAATGATGGGAGGAAAACAGAGAGAAAAAGGAATGATCGGAGCAAAGTAAATCTTTCAATAGAAGAAAGTTGATGAGAGAGAAGTCGAGTGAAGAAGGCGTTTTAAGCCCCTTGCGTCAACACATTATCGTACATCGGAGTTCTTTCCTTGAATCCGGCTTGCTGTCATGGGGCCATCATGACAAAGACCCATTTGTAGGAGTTCGACATAGTATGCATGGCTTCATTTCCGTGACGTTCGTAAACAGTCATGATTTGTTGCCTAGTGTTTGTTTTGATGTAATGAAACATCATGAAGTGGTTGTTATGCAGCTTTTGGGGACCCCTATGGATAGGGCTCCGATCTACCGGCCTGCCCCGTGCTATGCAAGATTGAGCCGCTTCAAGAAGAGAGCATGGGGTTCGATTTTGAACCCCTGCCTCTCTCTCTAGATGATGTTTGCGATGCTCAACCTGTCCTGGGGCCGGCCCTTGGTGCTGGTCGTTGGGCTGTTGGTGCTGCTGCCTTCGCCGGGGCCAGGGATTATGCTCGGTAACGTCGGCGTGCCTTCGGTCTTGATTCCGGCCGGTAGAGCAGATGTCCAAGTCGCGGATGTCGGCGTGGGCGTAGTGTTGCCAGAGGCCAGCCCTCGCAAGGCTGCCTCAAGGCGCTCCCACCCTCCCCACTCCTTGACTTCCTCCTCGCTCAAGCCAGTTCTTTGCTCAGCGCTGAAGAGCCCGCTGCTGGCACCGCCAGAAGCTGTGATCGATCCGGGGGAGGTCGGGGAGAGGATGGCCTCGCGCTCGCCGCCGGCCCAGACCCAAGCCGAGTCTGGCGCCGCCTGCAGATCGGCGCTGACATATGCCAGGAGCTCCTCATCCTGCATCAGAGCCTCCTGCAGCGGGGTAGGTCCGGAACGGCCATGGGGTGGAGGAGGCGGGGCAAATGGTTTCGGAGGCGTCGTGCGGGCGACAAATGCCGCATACTCGGAGCGCTTTGTGCCTAGTGTAGATACGAAGAAGGCGAGGAATCGTCCACAGGGGATGGCAACATCGCGTTTCGAGTCTATGGTCGCTAGAGCACGCAGACACGTCGTTGCATGGTCCCAGTATCCTGCCAGAAGGAGAAAGAGGGCACAGCGGAACGTGTGGGTGGTGAGGAGAGCAGTAGCGCCGTCGGCAAGGGTCGGGGTTGCACGCGAAAGGAGCGACGCTGTTTCAAGAGCAATGTGAGTACATTGCTCCATGGCAGCAAGACGTACATCGGACGGGCAAGTCGGAGCCAGGTTGTGGCGGTGTAATGCGAGACGAGCGTGGAGAAGGTAGGTGTAGGGCGTCAGGAGGTGAGGCGATATTTGCCCTGTGCTGGCCGTGTCGCATACTTGAGGGAATTGTGCATGGCAGGCGTTGAAGTGCGTCTCGAAGGTTGCGAGCCTGGTGGGCACCACGATTGGGGCAGCCAGTGTCTTGATCAAAGAAGAATATGACCTGACGACGTTGATAACAGCCAAGAGGGAGTGATTCAGGGGCTCGCGGCCGGGAGGAACCATAATGCCTCCCTCGTGAATATAATGGTCGTCCACCGGGGCCGGGAGCGACACGTCGCAGTCAGTGTCGTCGATTAGCACCGGGCGGCCAAGGTCGAGAGCCAGACTTCTGTCCAGTATATAGATCGTCCACCATACCCGCCGTCGCGTTTCGCCTTCAATCACAGGCCACGGTCCGGATTCCGAGTACAATCCCAAGTCTTGTCCAGCTCGTACTGCCGTGCCCAGCCATGTCCAGGCAGCAGACTTCTGGTTCATCTCGTTGAGACAGAGAGTAACGAGAAGCAGTGCGCGTACATTGTCAAGGACGTAGTCGTTGTTCCAAGGGTCGATCATGCCCCTGGCAACTTCCAGTAGTTCCGCCGCCCGGAATGCGCGATGGGGATCCTGGGTGAATAGGCTGCCGAGTGCCAGAGCCGCGAAGAACGTTGATAACCATGCCGGCTGTACGGACTTCGTGTTGCCGATTCTGTAGAGGTCTTCGACTCCCATCTGAAATGTTGGCCAATGAAGGATAGGGAACATGGTGTGCGCGGAGCCGTAGTACGTGTGCAGGAGCTGGTCAGTCGTCTGCCTGGGAGGCAAGTCTGGTCTCTGAGGATCAAATAATGGCGTCGAAGGTGCCTGGCGGTACTGAGCAGGTGCTTTCCAGATGCCTCTGGAGAAAATGCGCATATTCGATCTTGCCCGCGCCAAGTCGTGAATAGGGGCTGGCCGCTTTCTTCGCTTGATCTCGACTCCTAGCTCCGGTAGCTGAAGGGGCAACTGCTCAAGACCATCCGGATCCACGTCCATCGCACCGTCCCGCTCCTGGAGCGCTCTCTTCAAGTTGAGATTGTCCCGCCTGAGGCGTTCCATCTGCTTCTCTAGGTCCTGCACCTGCTTGATCGAGGACATCCGTCGGTTAGTCTCTTTTGTAAATTGGCACTTGACATTGCGGCTTGAACACTCCGAACAACTCGTTGTCTCTGTAGCGTCGCATTTGACCTTTCTCTCACGGCATGCATCGCAGCTCGGGTCCTTCCTTCTCTGCCTGTACGCCCTCTTCTGAGCTTGGGAAATTGGGGGTAGTGAAGCTGTTGACGGGCCAGGTGTGCTTGCCACGGAATCGGCCGATGGCAGAGAGTCGCGGCCCATCATTGAGCCAGCAGTCACTGGTGTGTAAGGCGTAAAGGCGTTTTGGTTCATTGGCGGTAGAGGTGGGATGCCAATGGGCTGAGGAGGTGGTGCCGCAGTTGTTCTCGCTCCAGTGTTCATCAGACCTCGCGGGATGTACTGGGCAGGTTGTCTCGGAGATGTGGCAGAGGAGACTGAAGATGAGTCGTACGACCTGGTGGAGGGATTAGGAGATCGTGGATATGGGTTGTGCGACGACGCAGCCATGGCGGAGCGCGGTTCAACGGACCAGTGCTCGTGAGTCTGGTTCAAAGAAGACTCCACAGGCTCCCCTAGTCGGTGGACGGTGGGCAAACGGCGCTCCACGAACATACAGACGGTTTGTCGAGTCCTGCGGTTGGAAGGTTGCCGTACTGGACCCAACACACGGTTAAGTATTCCGAGGAAACTCTTTGGTGCGCAATACGGTATCCTCCGGGAGAGCGAGTGCCGTGTTCTACAGGTTGAGCCTTCCCAAGATTCGTATCTCTTCGCGTCCGGGCAACGAGGGCACAGTGGTTATCTTTGGCGATGTTGAAGCGTACCCGTTGTGCTGTAGCTCTGTGTGACCCAAAGCCGGCTAGATTCCTAACGTCCAATGACTTGCTTGTCTGAGCTCCGCCTTCCGAGTACAGGACTGCAGAGAAGACGATAAAGAGGCCCGGCTGCCGTGGTGTCTGATACAACTGTCGAAGATGCTGACACCAAGTGGCATCTGTTACGCAGCAGCTTGATTAGCGTGTAGACTCTTCGTGATCCGTCGAGATGATGCCAGCTTGTATGATATATGCAAGCAGCGAGCAAGATGCTAAGCAGGCGTAGTCAAAACGAAAGAGGGCGGCGTGGGGTCGTGGAGGATGGAAGCCGGTAGGGGAAACAAGCACCAGATGTAGGTTGCGCGGAGGGTAGAGAGATGTAAAGAATGGCAAGCTGTGTGGCTCTGCGGGATGGTGGCAGAAATGTTAAAGACTAATAGCAAGCGGCGTCTGGTCGGAGCAACGAGGAAGCGGGTAAGGTAGACGGACAAGGGAGGCTAGGCAAGGCAAGGTATGGTGGTCTTGGGCCGTCATGTCACTCGACGGGTACAACACCGCCGGAGGTTTTAGTGACGATGGTTTGCGGTGCCCTCGAGGCTTTAGTTCTGGACTGGATCCGGGGCTCTCCGCGCCATGAAAGCAGAATCGGAAATATTATCTCTGGAGAGTGGTGGAGGGCTGGACGGGATCCTTGCTGCCGCTGGGCCCAGGAAGCAAGGAGGAAGAACAGGGCTGTGGAAGATGCTCATCAACCAAAGTAACTAACGTGTTTCGACCGGAGAGTGGGCGCTGCTGGGATGCCAGGGTCCCGGTTCAAGAGAGCAGGGGGTCCAGGAACCTCGGACAAGTCACCAGGAAACCCCATGATCCCTGCCTTTAAGCGTCGACACCAAGGATTGGTGATGGCGAATCGGCAACAGCTTCGAAAATAAGGTCGCTGTGCCGCGACTCAATGGCATTTCCCGTCGAACAAGCCCACTTGGACTCGGCTGGGGTGCTTTTCTCAACCTCTTGCGCAGGAGGCAGGGGGGGCCAATGTGAACCGTGAACGTTGATGGTCCCCAAGACAAGGATTCGGGTTCAAAGGGGGCTAATAAGTTGATATGGCTTGACTTGTATGATCGTGGGTACCACGCGTCGAGCTCCCTCGTCGGGAATTTTGCAACAGGTGGGCCGTACCAAGACAGGAGAAGCCGCTATAGATCCTGATCCAAAAGAAAACGGGCTCTGGGATGGAGGAGGCACGTACGTATGTGGGTGAAATTTGCCCTTATGCAACCCTCACCCACGCTTAGAGGGGGGGAACTTGGGAAGAGGAGAGAGGGCTTCAAGGTAAGATGCAAAGGGTGTTGGGGTACAATGTGGATGGATGCAATGAGCCCGTCGTTGGTTCGGCTGGTTTGCTAAGGTAAAATCTGCAGGAAACTCTTCCGCTTCTGCACTCGGTTGCAGGAGACTTGTTGTTGGAGGCTTGGAGCTGTTGAGAATCGACCGGCATTCTTTCGGGTTGTACCACTGACACTTTGGTGCTGTGGGCTGAGGGCGACTATTTTGGGACATGATGTGCATCGAAAAATCCTCCCAGCAATCTTTGCAGCAGCGTGCAGATGGGCCAACTTGGTCCAGGTCCTTTTCATTCTCCTCTTTGCATATGTCCCTCGTCTCGCCATCATCTTCTCTGTTTTATGAGGCCAGGCTGGATGGAGACAGCGCCGCAACAGAACAGCCGACAAACGAGCCGACCATAACCAGCCCGGGCGATGGACGTGCGCTTGATGAGAAGGGGCGGCTAAGCCGTTCGTCGGGAGCTATCGAACAATGATCATCGGGGGGTTTCGCTGCTACTGGCCGCGATGAGACTACGAGTCGATTGGGTATTTGGGCAGGCATGGCCTTGGCCACGCAACCGCGTCCCGATCTTGTCATAAAATCTGGCATAAGGTAATGTCCGTGGCTGTGCTAACTAACGGTCGAGGTTCAGGGCGGGCGACTAGCCGATACCCGGGCCGGGTGAAGATGGGGTGCTGGCGATATGGACAGGAACAAGGACATATTCCGGCTCCAGACGGGGGGGGAAACGAGACAAATGAAACATGTGGCATACGCACCAAACTTAATGGTTGACTTTGAGGCAAGCTTCTGTGTTCCAGACCGTTTTGCTAAGCTGCTGTTGATGAACGTCGGAATGTTTGCGGGCTACGAGGTGGTGTTCCGTGTCGACGTAGCGGCTTGTCCGCGGATTTCTGCAACGGCCAAGCACGTGGTGCATCTATTACTGACACCAAGAGGCAATAAGCATATCTCAGTGACAGGACAAATCCCCGACTGACGTTTGATCTCTCCGAAGAACAACGTCGATGGACTGGCGCAGACAAGGTAAGAGTAAGGTACAACCAACCGGCTGCTGCTCAGTGCTGGAGGGTTTCTCAAACGCGAGGCGTTGGAAGGCTTTGAAAGCCCTGTGTCAAGGGAAAGGCTTGGTATCCGAACTGGGGTCCTCGCACTGCCTTGTGGTGCTGGTCGTACTTGTCGTGCTTGTCGAATGCCTGTCGACCAATTCGAGACTCTTCTCCGGGCTGTTGGCTAGGGGCTGAGATTGGCCGGGGGGGCTTCGTAGGAGCGGGAATCTGCACGTTACCGCAAAAGATTACGGCCGGCTGTGCCCACCGGCCACGCAACAGGCGTGATGTTGCAAGGGTCTGGTGAGCTCGTTGTTGCTAGTGGCAGGGTGGAATGTGACGGATTTGACAGGCCCAAGGCCGACGGAACCGCTATGCGGCAACAAATGGGCTTCCTTCCAAAAATCCGTTCGCCTACGTTCCTTTCCCAGGGCAAGATCGACCAGCCAGCACCGGAACTGGAGGAGATGTATTGCAGTCTACTCAAGGTGGTCTTGACTCTGTATCTTGTAAAGAGAGAGCTGGGATCCAGACTTGAGCTGCGAGAGCGGCCCAGTATGTCTCGGCGTGTTAGTCAATGTCGGGTCCTTTCAGGGGAGCGCTTTTCCTGAGCTGACTGGAGAGGTCTTGAGTTAGGATTTGGGGCCACCGAAGTAGAACGTGTCAGGATTCGGGAGTCCCAGGACTGAAGGAGAATCGAACCTAACGACAAGGACCAGAGAGACGAGACCAGCTGTTGTGGAAATTTTGCAGAGTATTGTCCCTGCTGCGGCAGGCTGCGGTCGATGTGTGAAGGCAGCAAGGCTTGGCTAATCCGGCCTGCTGGTGCTGTATGCCTGGATGTTGCTTGGCGATGTCAAGTGAGGAACCTTCAGAGAATGACAAGATTCGGGACCAGTGTGATAATGCGTAAGGGTCAGGGGTGATAGAGGCTGACGGGGAGAAGCATGAAGATGCCCGTGATATGATGGTCGTCGTAAGGTGGGTAGCAGCAATAATGATCCCCAATTCCAGGAGAGAAGGTATAGCTGGTGAGATATGATTTTCTGGAAGGTAATGCAAAACAAGTCTGATGGGTTTGTAACGCATCTAAGCCTTGATCCTCGACTAAGAGACACGAAGCTGAGAGACTCGAGACTCGGGGGGTAGGCCAGTGAGAAAGTACCATCACCGTGATATTAAGGCCAACGCCCGACAAATAAGCTCTACACTTTTCTTTGCCTGCATTGTAAGCCAACGAGGGAGGCAAAATACGGATACATCAAAGCAGTGACCGCCTGGTGCAAGAGACGCAACTGACCGGCCAGCGATCCCACGCACCAACGCGCCGGGGCCGGGACGGATCAGCATTTCCTGTGGTTGAGTCATCCCTGCACCGGGGTGTGGGTGAGCTTCTGTGCACCTGGCCAGTGTCTGTGTCTTGTCGTCCTGTCTTCTTTCTATCAAGGAGCCGATCAAACGCCGTCGGAAAGGGGAAGGTCAAAAGTAACAGACGGTACTAAGAATAAGCCATCGCTGGCGAGGGGAACGCTGAAAGTTGAGCTGGTATACCTCACACTACATCGTTCATCCTGCCGCAAGTGACAAGTGGCAGATGGAGATCAATGTTGGTGGAAAACCCCGCAAGCTCAAGTTATCAGCTTGGACTTGAAAGTTGGAGCGGCCATGTGCGCCAGGGCCTCTCGAGGTTCTTTCCTGGGCCAGCATTTCGGACACCGTCCGTTACGTGAGGCACGAGGCAAAGACATGGCTTGCCGCTTGTCAATACCTGCGAGTCTGCGGCGGCGCGACGGCGGTGGTTTGCCTGTGCGCCAAAGAGGGCGTGGATGTCTTGGTTGTGCGGGACGGGTGGTTCCCCAGGGCCTAAAAGCAACTGCGGTTTGGAGCGTCAAAGTCTTGTAAGTACCTGTGGCCCTGTGCCCGGCAGGACGTGGTCGACAATGGCGTCAAGAAATCTGCGAGATTGGAATGACGCTAGCTCATCCCCCCCCCCGGGGCTACGTGGTGGCCTGGTCCACATGCTTGGGATGTTGGGGCCGTGGAGCAAGGCGGTGCTAGGAGTTTGAGGAGATGGACTCGAGTCAAGGTTGGAACTGTATTGTCTAGGGTCAGGGTCCTTATCCTTGGCCGGTCTGTTCCTGTCCCCGTCTGTTCCTAAAGGGAAAACATCGGCGGGGAATCGGGACGGCCAGGATCCCGGGCAGGGATGTGAAAAGTAGTGAGAAGTTCAAGGCCCGTAAAACTCCAGAAGCCTGTGGCCTTTGTATGTGTCTTGATGTGATGATACTGATGACAACGTCTGTGCCGAAACTACCATCCCCAGTTGGAGTTGCCAATGTGGCGCTGCATTAGCCTCGCGCAAGCACGTAACGGGCAATGTGAACAGATGAGAAAGAGGCATACGAAAGATGGGATAAGACAATGCTCATGAGTTATTCTCAATACTAGTAGTTTTGCACAGTCGCTTCATGTTCGTGTGATATCGACCGCATTTGGCCAGGTTAAGTTGTGCTGCGTGCACCTCGCCTCTCAAGTAATGTCTCTAAAGGTAGGTGCCGAATAACAAGGTATCTGAGTGCAAATTACGGCATTATTCTAGATTGTGGTTGTGATTTCGAACTAAACCGCTGGTAGCTTCTAGGGTGCCAGGTAGGTTCCGGGCCGTGAGACATCCTCGATTTTTCATGTCTGATGAAAAGAATGGGCGGCAGCAATCCAAGGCGGGAGGGGGAAACTCAGCCGTTCTACCGGCGGCGTCGGCCGGGTAGAGGGCGGCAGACCAAACGGACCTCCACAGCGGGCTGGTTGAGTTCCGCCCACAAGTGTGTGGGGCAGCGACCGGGATACGCAAACTCGCTTGGAGAAAACTGGTGAGTCGTGACGAGGTAACCGAAGCTAGACTTGGGCATCAACCGTTCGAGTTCAAGCTTCTTTCCTAGCGGCATCACCTTGATGCCGAAGCTGTACGAACTGTGGTTGGCTTGACCGATGGACGGTGCTTAGTCGTTGACGAAAAGTGATGGGCACGGTGACGTGACAGCCCGATGTCATTGGAGAAACACCAAGGGTGGGAGCCTGGGAGGCGAGCGAGAGACGAGCCCTAAAGCCACCGGGCACTGGGGTAAAGACTGTCTGCACTAAAGTTAGTTGTATTCCGTACACAACTTGGTGCGGACACCATAGTGCCACTGCCATGGCATGTGCAGCTGCTCATCGCATCGCCAGTAACAGAATCAGGGGTTATAGCGGTTGCCAGGACCAGGCCTTGACTCCGAGTTCCGAGCTGTTGCACGGGAGGGTGTTGAGCCGTGGCGCCGTCCCTTTTGGTGTATGGATGTCGCGTGTACAATGGAGATGGCGCGCTGTGTCTCGCGGGAAGGGGGCGGCACTCTCCCTGCAGAGGCGCTAGATAGGTATTGGACAGCTCTATTCTGTGTGGCTGACGGTGGAACAGAGAGAGAGAGAGAGAGAGAGGCTTCGACGGTCGACGTAGAGCATACGCTCCAGAGTAAGGTTGGTTGGTGGCACACTGGCAGGTCTCAACTTGTGTGAAAGGTCCTGCCATGGAGCTTGTCTTGTGCTACCTAGTTAGTTCGAGCTTGTTAGTTCGTTCCCGGCAGTTTCAAGAGCGTCTCCGGCAGGCTTCTTCACTGTGGCTGACTGCCAGTTCTGGAGTCCAAGGTTGTCAAAAGCTTGGGATAGGGCGGTCAGACAGACGCAGTTTTGCTCATCAGCGTTCATCTGAGGAGGGATAAAGTTGAGAGTCTCAGTCCGAATGTCCCGCATGTGTATAGAAAGTAAAGCGGGAGCCAAGCTCGTCTGACAGTCTCAGGTTCCATAGTGCCCGGGCTGAGCTGGTTGACTTGAGAGTATGTCAAGAATAGCAACAACCAAAAAGTCATTTGGTGATTGCTTGTTTTGATTAATCAGGTGAAATCATGCCATTCCCAAACGAGAAACGACGAGTTGGAAAATTGAAGGAATTGACTATGGCCCCTTTGGAACAGACGAGAAAAGCGCAGACGTGAAGTTGTGAGCCTGACGAGGAGGCGGAGAGCTCAGACCTGGACGCCGTGCAGTGATAACGGTAAGCTCTGCGGTGATCCGGTGTGCTGGCGTGGAGGAAAGAGTTTTCTCCCACACACCCCCTCGGGACCCCTTCTCTACATTTGCCTCTTAGTCGTTGGGAACAGAGCTTCTAACCACATGTTTCTGTTCGGTATAGGTGCCTATTGCGCGTGCACTGGGGATAAGGCGGCAAAGAAACAAGTGACATCCATGCTGGTAGACCCTTGTTAGTCGAGCAGAGTTTGTCCCCCTCTCGGCCCCAAGCGATGGTGGTGGTGGTGTTGGTGTCGATGGTGAAGAAGGTGGTTGCGGGTTGAGGAGGGAACGAGATGGTGGTGCTAGGAATAGCACGGCATGCCCCGTGCCGGGCGAAGTACGGGATAACAACTCAGGTATCGATTCGTCGAGGCTTGTTGCCCCCTTGGATTCGTTTGGGCCATTGGACCCCCTCAGTCTATTGTCATGATTCGACTTCCCTGATGGACAGGAGTGACTCGAGCGTTGGTACGATTACTGGAGCATAACTGCGTATCCGTGAGGGTAGAGGAAGGGAGGGACTCGCAATATCGAGGCTGGAATCTGGAAGCTGGATGCTGGATGCTTGCTGCTGGGTGATGCCGGGATGGAGAGCAAATTTGCGTCGGCTACGTTGGCCGTAGTGTGGCAGCATGGAGTATCCGCAGCTCGCACAAACAGGTCGGCATTTGGTTGAATGAGGAGCAGGGAGGCTTGATGCAAGTGGGATGAAGATGGACAAGATCGGCGCCTCGTGGATAGTAAGAGATGGGCCAGAACTGAGCGCCGGGAATTTGAAGAGGCACCAAAGGCACCAAAGTGTGAGGAGTGGTGGTTGAGTTTGGTGAGTGCTTGTCAGAGTCAGAGGGAATTGCCCGCCCGTCTCCTGTCTACCTTAGGTACTTCACAGTAGGTACTCCTGTCTGCCACTCCTTCCCCCACTCCGTGTCCCGATTGAGGAGGACGGAGTACGTACTTCTCAAGGCTCAGGGTCGCTGTCACCCTGCCCGAATGCCCAAGATCCCCTGGCACTTGCCCTGAGCTGAGTCCCTGAGTGACGCCTGAGGCCTTAGGCAAGAAGTGAGACGATGGAAAAGAGGGGCGAGTGCGCGATGGGAGACTTGGGTAAAGATACGTATCTCACCGCGATACTTGGGTTGGAGTCCGAATGGGAATACTCCGTACCGGTACGGAGTATAGAACTGGAAGGAGAGCGTCCTTGGGTGGACGGGTGGACGGGATGATGTACTTCCGAGTCCAATATCTGATGAGAAGGAAGGTAGGTACCTTACCTACCTACCTTCAAACCTCTCACTGTACCTTCCTTGCATTCCAACCGCAAGGAAGCACTTTGATGGTAATTCTCTTTGCGCGTTCTTCCTCCTCCTCCTTCACTGAACAATTACAGGCGTCAGACCATGGCTATAGTAGTCCGCTGTGGGCAACAACGATGAATTGCAATGTTGCAACGCTGCAATAATGGCCTGAGGTACGGTTGCAGAGAAGGGAATGTACCTTGCATGTGTGTGAGCCGTGGTATCCAGGCACGGAATACTGCTTCCATCGATGAGATTGACTGTGAGATCGGCGCCTGGAGCCAATGGAGCTCGGCAGACGGCACTTGCTTAATCTCCTGAGCCTTATGCGCCAATGGATCAAGGTCCATTGGCTCGACGGTGGTCCTCTGGTATCTGACAGGCGTACCCGTATTGTAGGGTCCTCATCGACTTCAGCCGTCTTTCCATGATCCCAGGGGCCAGGACACCGGTGACCGGTGCCGGAGTCGTGCAAGGCTAAGCAGCCAGGTGAAGGGGGAGGGTGTCGTGGACTTGTGGGTGCTTTGCAGTGTCAGAATTTGTCTGTCTGCCCGGCGTGATTGCTTGAGATGAGGTCTCCAAAGGGCCACCGAGGCACCTACCTACCTTACCTTACGTATACGCACACAATTAAGAAGTGAGCCACTTCGGAGGTGAGGGACCTGACGGCATCTTAGGTAAGGTAAGGCATCTCAGACAGTACGGAGTACATGGCTACTGTGTAAGCCAGTCCCACAAAATGGAAAGACTCCAACAGTTCACTCTTTCCTACCGAAGTAAACTTGGAGGCTTGAGGTGGAGTGTTCCTTCTCTACCTAATAGAGGAAGGACATGGAGCAGCTGCCAGGAACCTATCTTAGCTACGTGCCTTGCCTTGGAGTCTGGACGACAGTCTGGATTACGTACGCCACTAACCCCGAAACAGACTAGACACCAGGCTCTGACAGGGAGGTCCTCCGATGTGCCTCCGTATCCATCCCCAATCCGCGATCCACAACAGCTCCACGTTGTATACGTACCCGGTCTCGTTTCTTGACAACTTCAGACTTCCATGACTTCGAGCTCTCACTATCAATCCACAAAGTCAACCCCGACCCTAGACGAAGCAAAAGCTGGAGCCGGACTTATGCACCTTGACCCGGCGGAACTTGGGTCTGGACGCTAGATGCATGCTGAAGCTACATTCGAAATGGACTGGCTGACTGGATCCCGATTCCCGGCTGCTCGCTTTGAGCCCATTCTTTCTTTCTGCCAGATCCCACATCCCTCAGCGGTACAGTCATCAACCTTCTTCAAAGTCCAACCTCTCTACGCAGTATTCCTCCAACGGGCCCTTTCAACTAAGTGTACGGATACCCATGCGGGCACTTCTTCATCCTCTCCAATTCTCGCAGTCCCTGGACACTTGCGACCGCACTTTGCACATACACACGGCCACATTTCCGGGTCCCACATAGTGTTGAACCAGACTCGGCAAACCTCTCCGTAGCAACTTGCATTCATATCGACATCAAGCCACGGTTCGTTGTTAGCTCAGCATGTTTTCCCCAAGTCGAGAATCAGGGGGAGGCTACATGTTAAGATACCTTACCTGCTCCAGAACAACTTAGATGCGACACATATGCCGGAAGCACAGCCGAACCCTGAGTTTTGAGCCGTTGACTTGTAGGCCGTCGATCTGCGACGTAGCTACGCAAGACAAACCTACGAGGACCACTTGGCACTTGCTCCGAGTCCGACGAGTCTCGAACCCACACCATGCTAGACCTTCTACTTGGCTCGATATTCCGCCTAGACCAGAACCTCTCTCACCATTGCCGCTGCTTCGCTTTCTGCCCACTCTAACTTGCTCGATACGATGCATGTGTCTGTCGTTTTCCTTTCCAGGACCTAGCAATCTCTCAACCTGCGGCTTGGGATCTGCATTGGCGATTCAGAGACGTGCATCAATCCCTTGACCATAGCTGGCAGCATCGATCTCTTTCCAAGGTCTACGAAGCCGGCAGGTCCCATAGGTTGCAAATCACAAGATACCACGGTAGCAAGCTCATGGATCATGCCTGGCCCCATGGCCCCCTCTCCGTTGCATGCCAACGTTCGCATCCCTCAGACAAAACGGATGCAGTACGGATGCAGTACGGATACATCGCACTCTATGAATTCATACGGAAGCCGATGGGCGAGCGGGCGGGCGAGCCACCCGACTATTTCAACGGCCTCGACTGAACACAATTAGCCTTTTCCCAATCGCCTGGCCTGCCGAAGCAATCAGCCCGCACGCCCGCTCTTATCCATTGGGATTTGAAGTGCCGGCTGCACATCAATTTTGCACCGCATGCCGCACTGGGATGGCTGGAAAGCCACTGCTGCAACCCACGCATCTGTCTCCAGATCGTCAGCGGACAGCTCTAGCACCGAACGCCGCTGTAAGTCCGACATAAACTACTGGGCAACTCGCCCAACTGCCTTCGAAGGCACTCACACAACGCAGTGAAGGTATCCGCACACCCACAGTTTCACGCCACGCTACAGCACCTTGTTTCTGCACTCTCGCCCTACTTCTGCCGATCCAGGAGCCGTCGGCCCCACGCCGCCCACTATGGCTTGTTCCCGATATCCGTCTTCTCGGGGTCTTTGAGAATCTATTAGTACGGATACTCGCAAGTGTGACGATGGCTGGACTGCTTCACCATCATGCGGGAATTCTTGGCACATCTCACAGTACGGTTGAGCAATACGCATATCATTCCTCCCGGCTCGCCACGTTCATCTGGTTCTAGCAACCAAAGCCTCGGATGGATCCTTTGGAAACTGGGCATGCCAGGCAAGAATCAGCGAAAGGGGGGGGGGGTTCCGCCAGCCGGGGATTTTGATGACGACCGCCTCCTGGGCTAGTGGCAGTGCTACCAAGCCCGCAGATTGACAAGTTCATGTCTACAGGCCACTCGACTCGAGGGATTCTGTCCCCGTACCTCCTGATCAGTCGGCAGCATCCGGATGTTCCCAAAGGCCATCAAAGTGGCTCCATCGAGAATCATGTTCTCGCAATGTCACAACCACCCAATTTCCCCGAATCATGTCCCACAAGTTCCGTTCCTGACGGAGAACACGCACGGATGTCGCTCGCCAGGGGAAACACCGCCGGGGGGTTCATCAGCGCTAGTGCCCAGGGTGACAGGGCCACAGGATGGCCAGGCCTGGCCTGGCCTCGAACCGTTGACAGCGAATCCACGAACAGGCAATGTCCCAATGTCATCTTGCGGCTTGCCATGGCCCGCGGGCCTTGTACATGAAGATTTCGCTGCTCGCTACTCCGATTCGAAGCCCTTCGAGTTCGGCCAGATGCCCGGGGTTATATCTGCGACGGCCAAGTTCCCGCTTGGAGACCGTGGATACTGTAAACTAACCAGGCTCGGCTTCTCCAACATGCCATTGTCAAATTAAGCTGGCGCTACGGATACCTGCTAAGGTTACGGCCTAGTGTCCACTGTCCACCGTTGGAAGAGCATTTCAGCGAGTAGCCTGCCCAACTGTCCAACAGCATTCCTTCGGCTTGAGCCCCGAGAGCGGCTGGTCTTGGCTCTAGCAGGCCGCCCCAGCAGAAAACATCGAAATCGCTGCCGATGGCCCGAAATTTCCTCCGACATACTCGCCAGGACTCCCACGTCCCTTGTTTCTTTTCCGACTTTCTGCCAGACTGCCACGCTTCTGACGTAGCATTGGGCTCCGTCACGGCAGAGTAGCCTCGTAACCATCATGTCAAAGACTCCATACAGGCACGGTGTACGGAAGCACTACTCTGTACGTACACAATACACAGTAGACTGCGGCTGGGCTTGTTGCCCTCAGTTGCTGTCTGCTTTACACTCTTAGCTCCCCCGTCATCTAGATATGCCTGCGTATTTTCCAACGATCCATGTCTCAATGCATCGTGACACCTGGGCACTTTGCTCGGTCAGCCAGCCGAGGGTGAGCAAGCCGACGCGACCAATGGTAGGGCCTCAAGCCTCCCGGTGATAGTCGATATCATCGTCGTTGCGCAAGATTTGATCTCGCCAACCGCGTCTTCCCGCCCTGGAACGCTCCGCATCCGCCATCATGTGTCGAGAACTGGTCGATTGGCCCGGGCCCGGTGAGGCCCTGTCCTTGTCAAAATATGCTCCTGCAGCACGCAGTGCGCTATTGCACAGGCTTACGAGCTAGATGAGCTGGGAGGGAGGAGGGAGGAGACTACCTTAGCCTGCAGTATGTGAGTGAGTGCGTCCCTAGCCTCTCCTGGGAAAAGTCGTGCCGCGAGAGACGATCCCTCCCCCTCCTGATGGCCTTCTCAAGAGGGCCACCACTCGCGTGGGCCGGGGATGCATCCATTAGCACGCCGCATCCCACTTCCCGAAGCCCATGCGCCCGGTCAGGTTGCGTGTACGTTTCTGCCGTGTACCACGGTACACAACGGCCAACCACACGCTCTTCACCTCCACGACAAGCAAACACATGAAGTAAAGGAGGTTTCCGACCCCTTGGCTTGCTTAGTTGGCCTTGTACTGTGGCCTTGTGGCGCATACGACCGCACACAAAGAAGATGAGACTCGCAATGATGTTGTGGTATTACTGCGCCGCACAACGGCCAGCGTCGGTCGACTGCGCGATGGGAAAACCCAGGCACAAGTGACTCCCACGTCAGGAAGAATAGGCCATCCTCTCCCATTCGACCCCCGAAAGTCTCGACAGGGCTTTTTCACCATGGGGTTGGGACGTCTTCCACATGTTGCGGGTACTTGGTACATACAAATATCACATTGGCGTGGTCGGACCCGGTTACTACCCCACAGGTCCGCATCAACAATTGCATCTCAGAGGTTGTATTCACAAACATCGATATCCCTTCTGTTCATTCTCAACGATTCCCTTCAACCATCCAACGGACCGAAGCTGATGTCTAGGCTCGAGGTTCTCTTGGGACAGGGGTAAAAAGTATGGACATCGCTCGATTGTAAGAGTCAACGAGTCGCTGTCTCCAGCTTCACTTGAAAGATAAGGTGTTCTATTCATCCTTGTCAGCACCACATACGTCTTTCCTCTGTCGTAGGTCGCCGTGCCACCGAATGGTTACCAAGGGTCCAATAGTTGCGAATGACGATTGGCGCAACTCCCGGAGAAGTCGCCGCTTCTTAGGCTGGTTGTTCGGCCATTCTCATTGACGTCCTCTACATACCTCGGAGGTTCGCAACTTGGCTAGCTTTCCCGAGCCATGGTAGAGGGCTGCGTGACGAAAGCGCAGATCAGTGGCAGACGGTAACACGACAGGTGGTCGCGTACATGGTGCGGGTGTACTGTACAGAAGCAGATTGGATCCATTTCACGACTCGCAGCATTCCGGCCGGGACGGTATGTTTGCAGCAATGTAACGCGATCCCCGAGTCGTACAGCACCTCTTCAACAGATCGCCGCCATTGATTCAGTGTCAATCGCAGACAAGAGGATTTGCCTGACCGGGGCCATGGGTACTGCAAGCATGCCGGGGGTCAAAGGACAAGCCCATGTCAGCAAGGTTACAGTATCGTGTCAATCGCTTCAAGGCCAGAACTCTTCCACGGGGGAATGGGGACGACGATGGCGTTGCCGACGTCTGCCACACGTCCGCGTTTGTGCACACGACCGACAGTTATCATTTGGACTCGGTAGGGACTACAGAGTACGCAGTATGGTCACGATAGGATCCTCCTCGACCACGCCATTCCTTGTCAGCCCCTTGGTCAACATTGGCTCTTGGTGCCGCGGATTAAGAGCATAAGCTATAACCAGGACTTTTATCCTAAACGAGCCGTGGAGCCGACGCATCTGATCACAACCGAATGCCGAATCTGCGGATAGGTGAGATCGGCTCCGCACTTTTTCACACGAATATTAATAGCCAAGCTTTGGAGTTTGGTTTTTGACGGATTTCCGCCGTCGAGTCAACCATCAGTAGACGGCCACCAGTCTGCTGTGATGTTGAACCGATTCGCAACATGAATCAACTATATCAGAGTTTTGTTCAAGCCCAGGGAAACCGTGTTTCCCCTCGGGAGAGTTGTCAAGAATTATCCACAACGGACCGCAGACTGAATGTCGACGGCGCGATTGGCGTACCTGGCAAGCTGGCTCGAGCTCCCAGGGCTTGTCGGCCCATATGAAACATGACAGCCCGGAGTGGTAACTTGCCAGGTTCCATCCGCGAAGCGAATCTAAAGTGCAGTTTATCTGAATACCACTGGGTGATAGCCGAGAAGTCTACTACGGATGCTGCGTACGCAATACACTAGCACGCTGGCATGACCTCGACGGAGCTCTGTCGAAAGTAGCACCTTCTCCGAGCCCTCCTCCTCCTCCTCTCCGCCTCCGTCTACAGTCTACACCCTCTTGAGGGGCACCGAAACGGACCATGTGCAGCGCAGGTTACACTACAAGCATCGTTGCAGCAACCCGAGTTGCAGACAAACCCAGGCAGTAGACTCGGTCACTCACGGTGCTCAGGAGACGCCATCAACCGCCCTCTGGATTCGAGGTGCCATTCGGTATCTCCGCCGGGAGGGAACAGCTCCTGGGTAGCGTGATGGGCACCCGGTGGCAAGCAGAATGGTGTGCAACCCCGCAAAGAGCAAAGTTATCTGGTCGTTCCGGCTGGCAATTCTCTGCCCACTTGGAATCGTGAGACTTTTGTCTTTTCAGCAAAGTTATCCACCAATCCAACCATCGTCACCTCGCCTTAGTTATTGTCTAAAGAGAGTGGTCTATGAGCCATATCTAACGTAGTTAAGGAGACCGGACGAGGATATACATAGGAAGTATGCGTGTCATGTCACACAAATGTAACCACCGATAACTCGAGGACGGGTGCTGGCAATATCGCATCGCATAGCTTAAACTCGGGCAAGCTCACTGACAGAGACTAAGAAGCAGTGTGACGATGGCGGCAACGACCGTAAACGCACCTTCTTACCCGTAATGACTGTACCGTCAGCCGCGGCTTGCTACGGTATCAGTAAGACTAGCTGTCAACGTCCGGTCCCAAGACACGCATGCATGTTACCATCCACCGATTAGCTTCCGATGGCCAGGCAGATTGGCAGGCTATCCGTATTACCTCGCACTCTTTTCCCGAAGCAATACAACGTTTGAAAACGGTCGACAGCCACTCGTGTGTTTTGTCTTGAGTCTTTATCCGTACCCGCGCTTTCGAGCAGCGGTGCGGCGTGCCTCCAAACAACTGGGTCCGGCAAAGGATGCGGAGAGGATTGGGTCTGCGGCGGCAGTTATTGGCAACAGGCGGTCAACAAGCCGAATGAAACAGCACTGCCAAAGAAGCCCTTACTAGCTTGCATGAAATTGGGTCTGGCTGGGTTTGGCGGATCCCACATTCCTGCCAGCGGGAGAGGGGGAACACCTACGGATACATGGGTAGCAAGCAGCTCGACAAACCGCAGGATCATCTTCACTCGCAGGTTAGATACAAGCACGGCGAAAAAAAAAGAGTCCAACGGGATTGCTCCTCGCACGCTCGGGCGCTTCAACAAGAAGCTTGTGTCCCTCGTGGCCCAGGGTTGTCGATCTCGGGATAAAAAGGTTCACGGGCGCATCCCAAGTCTTTGGATAAGGTAGGAAGATGGAAAGTCTGACAGAAAAGGTGGTTGCTGTCTTCAAACGGACAGAATTAGAACATAGAGGGCGGGCAGCGGGCATCAAGATGCAACGGGACGACTGGTGACTGGTCGCGTGCAACAAGCATCGGGCGCGGGCGCGCGGAAACGGCCATGACAAGCTTAAAAAGACACAACGGATGAAGGGACGGAGGTCAACGGGACTCCATTCCAACCGCCATTCCATCATCTCACCTGGACGTTGGAGCTATTCCTGTCGATAAGCTTTTGCGCACGACTGGCGGAGGCTTCCCTTCTCGCTTGGGAGATCGGTGGTTGCGACGACTCACGTCACAGATGCCATGGGACAGCCCGTGCCACCATGGATGGGGCTGATAATCAAGCATATCAAGGGCCAAGAGACCCTTTTTAGAGGGAGGGGCCTCACGGGCTAAGACCAGGAACATTCCTTGGCTTGACAGTTCGGAGCAACAGCCTGAGGGGGCGTGTTCGGCCGTTATCCAACATCTCAGCTCCTTGATGGATATCCATACATATGTACATACGCTGCGGCGGCGTACGGATAGTCCTGGGAAAGTCTGAGAATGGTATCATCCAGCTCTCTCGGGTCCCAGTGATGCGAGGCAACACTAATGTCCACCTAGTATGGATATCCCTTCGTAGTCAGCCATCCCGTCGGCTGCTGCCTCGCCCGGTTCATCGGCGGCCACAAGACGGATCTGACCACCGAATCCCGGTCGTTTCTGCGGTTTTTTTTCTTTTTCCCTTGTTCTTCCTTCCATGGGCGCACCGCCCGTCGCCCCCCCGCAGTCGAACACTGGGATGGATCTCTCTTCTGATCGGCCGTCGAAAAATGTCCAGTTGACGTTGAACTTTCAGCTCCGGGATGATCCCTACCGAGAAATCCTAGGAGCGGCGTGCGGCGCCACCACTTGCCAGCCTTTCAGCCCCCCAATGTGGGAAATAACCGGGGAATCGGCAGGTTTCTGGATGTCTCTGGATGTCTCTGCGCTCTGGGACAAGAAAAAGCAATACCAGAGGTCTAGACTTTGGAAGCGGTTCAGCGGCAGGCGGCAGGCTCTATCCGTCGCAACGGGGGGAGAACATCCTTCAAAGACCAGACAGACAGAGAGGGGTCTCGCTGGAGCCAATGAAGGTTGGCGAGTGCAACACAGATTGGGTTTCGAGACCATCTAGACGAGTTCGAGGAGCGCGCCAGCCCGCACACTGCTGGCCGTTGGCGGACCGCTGAAGAAGAAACAGCCAAACCAAAGCATGATACCTAAGGAATGCAGTCTACCAATGTCGTATGTGGCGGCCGTCTGGACCTGTCAGTCTCTGAGAGTCTGTGAGGCTGCCCGTCGTCGAGGTCTGAACGTACATATGGCACGGTGACTTGACAATTGGTGACGGGGAAGCTGGCGGCCCCCTCGCGAAGGCCAGCCTCCCAGACTGTTCAAATGGAAAGCATTCCATTCGCGGACAACTTGCTCATGTCA